CCAAATTTTTTCTTTGTGTGTGGGCCTGCACACCAATCTACTGCTGGCGTGCAGATTGGCGTGTGCGAGGGGGGTTGGCTTGCGCTTATCAACCCCCCCACCGCTGATCATCCACTCTCAATATCTCTGGCCTTAAGAATAGTCCGGCCTCTCAACTGGCTACAATCAATACGGAGACCATCAAGTCTCTTGGGGATCTCCACATCTCAACCCTACTCCTGCATTGGCACACCACCCCACTTGCCTCATCATCCAGGCTTCCAAAAAGCCCAGCATGAACAACAGGCTGGATCGCTGGGGCCTGCGCCTCTCTCCCCCAGGATCCCGTCGGCCGTACCTGGGAAAAACAAGGCGGTGGTGTCAATCAAAGATTTCGATATGCTCAAGTCAATCAGTCAGGGGGCGTTTGGACAGGTTTGGTTGGCCAAGAAGAAGACAACAGGAGACTATTATGCAATCAAGATCTTGAAAAAACAGGATATGATTGTTAAGAATCAGATCATGAATGTGAAGTCGGAGTGCAAGATTTTGATGAATCAGGCTGATTCTGATTTTGTTGTCAAACTCTTCTGTACCTTCTCTTCTAGAGATCATCTCTACCTTGTCATGGAATATCTTAACGGCTGTGATTGTGCTGCCTTGGTTAAGGATCTTGGTAATCTCCCTGAAGAGTGGATGAGGAATTATGTTGCTGAGGTTGTCATGGGATTGGAGTATCTTCATTCAACTGGTGTTGTTGTGGTAAATAATACTGTGTTTCTATGCAGAAAATATAAAAATTTCTTATTATCTTTTTATTCATTCAAGATATGGTAAAAATGACATCAAGAATGGAATCCTCAGGTAAAATGACCCCTAGTCACCCACTACAACCATACCTTTATCTCTTATAGTTTAGAAGTTACACGTATTTCAACCTGTCACAGGATATTTCTTGGATTCTTCACTCTAGCCATAGTTATTATGAGTACAGGATGCATTTTGCATACTGAATTCCTTTGTATTAAATTGAATACCTTTACGTTATTTTGAATCCCTTTGTATTAGTGATATTGCATGTATGCGTCCCTTTGATCATACATATGCGTCCCTTTATTCATTCATATGCCTTTGTAGTAGTATCTCGCAGCCTGTACCCTGGGGCCAAAATCCCTCACATTTGTCTATATAAGGAGGCCTCTGCCTGCCAGTTGTTCCCTCCATCATCCCACCAGTGGACCACATCATCCCATCAGTGGACCACATCATCCCACCAGTGGACCATCATCCCACCAGTGGACCACATCATCCCATCAGTGGACCACATCATCCCACCAGTGGACCAGATCATCTCAACCAACCTTATAAATAAATCCATCTTATATATTATTTCATAACTACAAGTCATAGCCACATTACAATTTCAGAATTAAATACATTGAAATACAGATTTAACACTTTCATCATCATCATAAACCAAAAGTGCCCTGAACCATATTCAACAACAACAACTTCATCAATATAACCAACAATTAATAACATCTTTTACCCTCACACATATCAATCAGCAGCTTCATCTCAAACTTATCCCTATCACTGTATATAAAATTGCCAAGCTAAGCTTGGTGGTCTTGTTATTCTGATAGTATAGAAGGGCAGAGCTTGCAACTCCAACCACCAGGGGAAATTTCAGGGCACTGGTTGCCCAGTGACTGCATGTCACCATAAAATCAAACAAAAATCACAAAAAATCACTTTGGTAACGAACCTGATATTCCCATATTTTTCACAGTATTGTGAACTGATTTTCTCATATCTTTCACTCAACATTCAGACAAAATTCAAAATAAAATACTATCAAAGTCACTAGAGTTTCCTCATGTGATGAGTTTTTTATTTCACTTCTAATTTACAGAAATAGTAAATAGAATCAGCACAGAATGATTTTTTTCTGCAGCCCCAGCATAAAAGTTTGAAAGTCTCTTGATCAGATCAGGATATTCTTTGTAGATTTAGATCCTCTCACACCAGTCAATTTCATCAAACTTATCATTTCCAGTTCTAAATCTAATACTTTCTCAGATAGATTCTGGAATTCATTTCCCCTAGTACAATAAAAACAGCCTCAAAATTACCCAAGTTTTAATAAAATTAAAAAAAAACTGTAATTTCTTCATATAAACACAATACAATCAATAAGATGAGCTTTAAAAAATTCAATCATGAGACAACAAAATTTCTAAATTGAATTCACAAGAGGATGATTTTTTCATGGGTCCTATGGGACGGCGGCAGAGTATCATGAGAAAAAAGGAAAAAACAAGTCTGGGAGGGGTTTCCTCAAAGCCTGAAGACTATAAACTCATAGCAGCTCATTGGGAGAAAACCCTCCCAATGAGATGGTTTCAAATCCAGCCCATTGGGAGGAATTCCTCCCGATGAGCTGGTATTCAGACCAGCTCATT